ATGGTTGTCCCAAAGAAATACAGGGACTTCTGAGATAAATGTTAAAAGACGTAAAAATCTTAACAGGAATCTACGGTTAGGGAAGACTTGTAAACTCATATAAATTTAGACCCTGATAGAGATGTTATAGAGTCTTCGGTCCAAGTCCAGAGAGGTCATGGAACGTGGTAGAAGTCCCAGCAGGTGTTTGGTGCTGGATGCAGCCGGAGCTTGAACCCCAGCTAGTGCAAGAACATGGCGGTGAAGCATGTGAGCTTATGAAACATCTTGCATATGTTAGCGCTAGATATTTTAAAAATCATCGAACAGTCTCCAATTGCTTCTAAGTGCTATCATACATGCATTTATTTATATGTGCTTGGATCAAAAAGGAAGAAAGGAAGGGAGGGAGGGAGCAAGCGATGGCAAGACAGGTAGGCTGACAATCGGCATTCATGGATCCAGATTCTATTAAGTGGCTCACAGCTTATTTCACATAATCCTTCATATGATATTGTGTTACCACCATTCCCATTTCAGAGATGGGGGACACTGAGTCACAGAGATGTCAAGTCACATTCCCAGGATCAAACAGGGCCTTCGCATGGTGAGAATACACAGAAAACAGTCCATGTCATGGCGGGCTGAAGCAGGACAGAGCAGAGAGCTCCCGTGTGGCACAGGTGTTTGCATCCAAAGAGGAGTGTTCCCTGAACCGCGAAAGCATATTTAGTTTGCTCAACAGATCAAGATATTGTATTCAAATTCCTTCTGTTTTTCTCCTTTTCTTTTCTCCCCAGAAATCAAACCAGGAATAACCTATGCTAAACCCATGCCTGAACTGTCCCCAAGTGTTTCCTGACACGTGTTTCTGCTTACAGCACACTGCAACTGAAGAATGGGGCTCAACTGGACGCTCACTAAACTACCAAGTAAGTCACAGAAAAGATGTAGAGAAAATCTTACTTGATCGATGACTGTTGTTGATACCACGTGACAACGTTTGGGTCTGAATGGCCAAGAGAATTAACAGAACAAGCCAGCACCTAATCTTGCCTTTCATTAAGCATAAACAGCAAACATGCAGAAATGGCATCCGTGAGATCACTGTAACTTGCCACCACTTTGTTTTAAACATCGTTTCATCTAGACACCGTCTCCAAAACGATGAGTAGGATTAAATGAATAATATTTGAGGGAGATTTTTAAACTCAAACCGAAGTACATATTACCTTTCAGACGTAATGGTCTAAACCAAGGTTCACTGAGGTTCCCCAGGAGGCCAAAGACAGCATCTCCCAACTCTCCCGGGTGACTATTTAGAAAAGGATCACACTGAGCAGCTGTGCTGAGGTAGTGACACCCTGTAATTTGCATGACTTTATTGTATCAGCCCCACCTGGCAGGTAGAGTAGTGACAGAGGTTGATACTTTCACACTTTGTGCCAGGAGTTACACACCTCCATGAACTACAGTGTAGCGTCAGCAAAGCAAAAGTACCAAGACTCGCCACCACTCTTTCGATCATTCACAGTGTGACTCTGTTAAGAGGACGAACTGCCATCAGCATGGAGGGCACAGAGCAAACACCCACTAAATTCTACATCCTGTGATCAAGCAATTTAACTCAGAAGGCTCGACAAAGTGGCTATTAGTTATTTCACCTTATAAAGTCATTAAGCGACTAAACCAGCACATTAAATAAGACTTTGTTCAATGATGAAAATTCTGGGTATGAGGTTGCCAGATGGCGTGGTGGTTAAAGGCACTGGATTCCCACATGGTAGACTGCGGTTCAAGTCCTGGATATGACAGCTTGCTTTCTCACTTTCCCTTTCTCTGTCTGGTCAATTAAAAAATAATAACAACAACAACAAATAGAATTAAATAAATATTCTTTATAAAAAAGAAAAAGAAAATTCTATGTGCATACTAGTCAATACAATATTCACATGCATGGTTACTGAGAAACTTAAACATGACTAATGTGATTAAGAAATTCAGTTTTTTTTAAACACTTTACAAATTTTATTTAATTTTTTCATGAGAGAGACAAAGAGATAGGCACCCCAAAAGGTTCTTCATACCCCCATTCTCATTCAGCCCCAATAATGGGAACGTGCATGCCTAATCTACTCAAGGAGGTGCAGGGGAACAAACTCAGAACCTTTCATGTATGGGTCCAGGTGCATTACCACTGAGCTACCACTGGACCCAGAACCAAATGTCTAATTGTGCTTCATTTTAACTTAACTCTAAAATGCCACATCTGGTTAGCACTACATTGGCCACAAAGTTCATGCCTTCCCCCGCACAAATGTGCACACCCAGACTTCCCCAACACAAATAGACAGTCGCAGCCCCCTCAACTCCCAAACACATGCACGCACACGCGTGCGCACACACACCCCACTCTCAAACGTGGCATAAAATAATTTACTTTGGAGGTAGAGTTCTTTTATCACTGTGTTTATTTGTTTATTAAGTTAATAACCAAGGAGTTAATGGAGGGAGAGTGAGGGACAGAATAATCAAGGAGCTATTACTATCAATTATCACTCTGTATTAAACAATGTAGGAAATACCATCCTGGGAACCAAGGAATATGGAGGAAAAAAACAGCCTTGGCACTGTAAAAACAGCTTCTAATTTATCATAATTGAACCACTCAGCTACCATCATTAAAAATGTCCCCCAACTTGGTCACATTCTTTATTGACAGTCAAGAATATGATTAAACTGTCTGGGTGAAAACAGCCACTCACTCTTAATGGTCAATATTCCGTCATGGAAAAGACATACAGAGAAATGCTTGTGAGTACACTCGTAAGTTTCAGGAAAATTGGGGACAATGATGGAGAAGAAAAGAAATGACAGGTAGGTAGCTGACAGAAAAGAATATGACAAAGATTTAATCCTGTAAAACAAATTAGTCACACAAAACTTTCCTAATACTAAGCTGCAAGCCTTCCAGAGCAACTGATGGTTGACTCCTCTCGCTTAAGAACCATGTTTTCTGTCTACCATATCACTCCAAAAAACAACCCATAACAGGCTTTACCCACTCGTTACTTAAGCTGCATGGTAAATGTGCAATTTGTGAATGGAGCAATAGCCATGCCAATCCCAATGAAGTCAGACGTCCTATATTCCAGAGCGTTAGTCCCATACGTAAACAAAGGAAGCGAATACTGCCCAGTGAGGTGACAAAATCAACTGGCTGTACCCCACTGTGTGCAAGGCACAGGACAGTTCAATAACCACTATGGAATGAGGCCACTCATGCTTGGTATTTTTTATTTATGAGATAGACCTGTTTTTGACATTCTGATTTAAGACCCTAGCTTTAATAATAATCGTTAGGTAAATCATCATTTCTTGAGAGTGCTTCTTCACATAATTAAACTTTGAAATATTATAGTAATACACTGAATGGACACACAATCTCTAAGCAATGCTGGGAAGGAGGCATTTTTCCACGCCACAATGGATATATGCACAGCAGATGCCAGGGCCGGCCGGCACCGAGAGCTCAAACGCTCCATGCCTGGGACGCGGCAGCTCAGAAACTATTCCACTTGCAATTATGATGGCTTTGAAAGGCATTTCAAGAGTAACTGTTACACAGCACAGCCATCACCGACTTCAGGAGATGAAGTATCTGCTCTGGTTCCGGCTGGGTCCCTCCACTGGACCCTTTATTCTGATGACAACGTGCTTGTTCCCTCTCTGCATCCCTTGGGGTTCAACCCTGGGCTAGATGAAAAGTGACTGACTGCTCAGTGTTTAACTGAGTAAACTAATTCAAGCACATCTCTTAACTCAGTGAAAACTGCATATGGTAAGTTTCTAATGATATTGATGCTAATTTGGATCTTCTGGGCCCAAAACAGCCAAGACGGCAACATTTCATTAAATTTAAATATGCTTGATGGACACGGCTCAAGACAGTATTTGAAACTGGCAGTAGTTATTCAGTGGCAGCTGAATCAGGCATTTCAAACTTGTAAAGCTTAATAATACCGTGGGCCTCCTAACAGGCTAGTCCGGGTATAAATTACTAGCCTGTGTAAGGATATTTAGGCCAGGAAAACCAGTTTTTTAAAAACACTCATAGCAAGGGATAAAAGGGAAAGAATTAGAAAGACGACAAGGTAAACTTCAGGCAGCAATTTTAAAACCTGTTTTTGGATTATAATCATCAAAACTATCTTTCCTGTTCTACTTCTTCTAAGAAGGGAATCAAAATTTATATTGAACTGCCCGTCATATAGGAAAATAAGGGCTAAATCCATACTATCACCTCGAAAACGAAACCATCCCAAAACATCACTGTGACAATAAACTTTATAAATTGGTGGGAAATGAAAATTCAGAAACGACCTTCCTTCTCATCTTACACCCAAAGAGCAATTAGCGCAGGTTCCAGAGAAGAGATGACAAGATGTGATTGCAAGGTCCAGAGGTTTATTTACTGAGGGAAATGGCTTCAAGGGAAAATGGGGGGAGGCAGGAGACTGGGACAGCCTTCAGACCACCTGGAGAGAAGAGCAGGAAGACGCTTAGAGGAAGTAGGAAGGGCCTGACTACAGCACAGTTTAAAGAATGTTTTAACCAGACTGAGGAGGGGTCGTCTAGCCAAAGTCATTCTTCAGCAAAGAGATGTCATGGTATCCCTCTCCCAGGCTCAGTTATGGCTGGAAGCCAGCCGGGAGGAACAATTAAGTGGTGGTGGATCTTGAGCACAGAACTGGTGAGGTGTATCCATCAGGACCCCCATGGGAAGGGATGTGAGAGGCCCCTTTAAATGTCTGCTGCATAAATCAAATCCTGGTAAGTCATTTCGTCGATCATATGGCAGAGTAGTCTGGTATGGATCCTGAACAACATAAACTGAAAAAAATCCATAAAAACAAAACTTTTTTTTAAAAGTTCAAATAAGAGGGAACTAGCAGTTAGCGTAATGGCTATGTCGCTGGACTCCCACGTAGTCGACCGCGGGTCGTGTCCCGGACCCGGTGGCTTAAAAAACTCACGCCGGGCGCATGTGCGTGCGTGCCCAAGATCCCGAGAGGAGAATGGAGGAGAAGGGATTGTGGCGTGACCATCCCCCCTGGGGGGTGATTTCTCGCTTTCTGTCTCTATGTCTCTCTCTGTCTGTCTGGCGAGCACACGCGCCCTACAGTGAAAATCTCTCAAAAAAAAAAAAAAAGTTCATAGAAGAGAGGTCAGTAGGTGGCATAGTAGTTAAGGTCCTGGACTCCCACGTGCATGACCACAGTTCAAGTCCTGGACCCAGAGGCTTAAAACTCTCGCCCAGCACATGTGCATGTGTGGCCAAAATCCCAAGAGGAGAATGGAGGCGAAGGAATTATGGTATGACCATCCCCCTGGGGAGGGTGAATTCTCATTTTTTTTCTCTGTCTCTCTGTATCTCTCCAGCAAGTGCATGTGCCCTATAGCAAAAAATCCCTCTCTCTAAAAGTTTATATAATGCAAGAAATAGGTAAAACCTAGCCCTATAAATGTGAAAAATGTCCCAATCAGCAATCACTTGCAACAAGTTGCCCTCCTTGGTAATACACTTAAATATTAAGAATAAAAAAAAAATTTTTTTTTCAAGGGACTATGAAAAAACATATCTGTGGATATTACTAATTCCACAAACACATCTTAATGAAAAATACACTGGATTGTGTGTAAATATTTATAATAACCAGAAGTAACTTTATACCTATCTATAATTTACAATATGGTGAAAATAGGCCCAAGAGAATCAGTAAACCAAACCTACTTTTACCTAAGACTTTCATAGTGTTACTTTAGTAGACATAAGATACATCATTCTTTTCTCTTTTTTTTTTGGAGAGATTTATCACTGTAGGGCGCGTGCGCTCGCCAGACAGACAGAGAGAGACATAGAGACAGAAAGCGAGAAATCACCCCCCAGGGGGGATGGTCATGCCGCAATCCCTTCTCCTCCATTCTCCTCTCGGGATCTTGGGCACGCACGCATACGCGCCCGGCGTGAGTTTTAAGCCACCGGGTCCGGGACACGACCCGCGGTTGACTACGTGGGAGTCCAGCGACATAGCCATTACGCTAACTGCTGGTTCCCAAGATACATCATTCTTTAAAAAATGCAAAAGCATTTTATTTCTATTTCTAACACTACTTCCTAAAGGACATCAAATACTAAAAGAACGTTATAAACAAAAAATTCAAAATGACCCACTAGTTTTACTCCTTCCCAAATATTGGTAAGTATACAGGTTAAAACTGGGAGGAGGGAAGCAAAAAAAAGAACTTCAGAGAGTGTACCAAAGCCTACTCTGAAATTACAACTATGTTCGATTTTCTTCCCATAGGAAGTTCCAATTTTCTGCCCCAGATTTTATTGGTTCTATTTGTAATGATATCAACTATGAACTGAAAATCAGAATTTATAATGATAGATTTATTTTCTAAAGGCTGGCATTCCTATCAGAAATATGATTTTTTACTAAAGAGACTTCGAGATTAGAAGAGAAGGGATTGGGAGAGGTGGTCACTGATTCCTTAGCAACTGAAAACATTAACACACGAGGTGGGTTTAAATCACTGTCCTCTCCATGCAACAGGAGTTCAGCCTGCAAGAGAGCCCGGTGGTCTGGGGGGCGCACGCACCAAGCACTGAAGTCACCTCTCTCACCCCTCTTGCAGATAACGAGCTGCCCAGCCCAGGGAGTCACGGTCCCAGTAACACAAGCGATGGGCCCGGAAAGAACGGCACCCTGCACAACGAATTTGACACCATCGTCCTGCCTGTGCTCTACCTCGTTATATTTGTGGCAAGCATCTTGCTGAATGGTCTAGCGGTGTGGATCTTCTTCCACATCAGGAATAAAACCAGCTTCATATTCTATCTCAAAAACATAGTGGTTGCCGACCTCCTCATGACGCTGACGTTTCCATTCCGAATAGTCCATGACGCAGGATTTGGGCCCTGGTACTTCAGGTTCATCCTCTGCAGATACACGTCTGTTTTGTTTTACGCAAACATGTACACGTCCATCGTGTTTCTTGGGCTGATAAGCATTGACCGCTATCTGAAGGTGGTCAAGCCGTTTGGGGACTCTCGCATGTACAGTATCACCTTTACGAAGGTTTTATCTGTTTGCGTTTGGGTGGTCATGGCTGTGCTGTCCCTGCCAAACATCATCCTAACGAATGGACAACCCACTAAGGAAAATATTCATGACTGCATGAAGCTTAAAAGTGCCTTGGGCGTGAAATGGCACAAGGCAGTCACCTACGTGAACAGCTGCTTGTTTGTGGCTGTGCTGGTGATTCTGATTGGGTGCTACATAGCCATATCCAGGTACATCCACAAATCCAGTAGGCAGTTCATAAGCCAGTCGAGCCGAAAGCGGAAACACAACCAAAGCATCCGGGTGGTGGTAGCTGTGTTTTTCACCTGCTTTCTACCCTACCATTTGTGCAGGATCCCTTTCACTTTTAGTCACTTAGACAGGCATCTAGATGAATCCGCACACAAAATACTATATTATTGCAAAGAAATGACACTTTTCTTGTCTGCATGCAACGTGTGTCTGGACCCAATCATTTACTTTTTCATGTGTAGGTCCTTTTCGAGAAGGCTATTCAAGAAATCAAATATCCGAACCAGGAGCGAAAGCATCAGATCACTGCAAAGCGTCAGAAGATCCGAAGTCCGCATATACTATGACTATACTGACTGTAGGGATGACAGGCCGCTGGCCGGGCCTTCTCTTGCTTGTTAGATTCTATCTGTACAAAGTGTAAATAAACGTCTCTTTTCGTTACCCTTGTGCTTGAGCCCATCATGTGAGTTAAGGATAAAACCCGACAATGGTATGAAATTGAGGCATCATTTGGAACTAAGAAAAACACCAAGACATAGAAAACGGGAGATAAATAAGAGGCAGTTTTGGCGGGATGGCGAGTTTAAGAAGCAGGCTGAGGAGCAGGAGGTGCCACAGCGGCGCCAGGACACCGCGGCTGTCCTTCGGAAGATGCTTCTTTGAAGCTGCTTTGGCAGAGAAGGAAAGCGCAGAGGAGAGCATTCTATTTGGCCTTGAAGTTTGAGAACGGGGAAAGAAAACGCTGTTTGCAACGCAGCCTATTTGCTAGATGTAATTGAGTATAATGTTCATTTCTGGGCTTCTGTCATCCCATCTACAAGCAATCTGAGAACTTCGGCCATCCTCCCCTCACTGTGCTTATCAATGTCTCAGGTCCATCTGATAAACATGGGCAGTGGGAGGTATTTGGGGGCAGAGGAGGTCCAGCTATATATTTTAAGCAAAACATATTGATAAAGTGAAATTCAACTAACTGATATTAAACGGGCTGTTTAAGAGGAAAGAGAAGCGGGAACCAGCAGTTAGCGTAATGGCTATGTCGCTGGACTCCCACTTAGTCGACCGCGGTTCATGTCCCGGACCCGGTGGCTTAGAACTCACGCTGGGCGTGTGTGCGTGCGTGCCCAAGATCCCGAGAGGAGAATGGAGGAGAAGGGATTGCGGCGTGACCATCCCCCCTGGGGGGTGATTTCTCGCTTTCTGTCTCTATGTCTCTCTCTGTCTGTCTGGCGAGCGCACGCGCCCTATAGTGAAAATCTCTCAAAAAAAAAAAAAAAAAAGAAGAGGAAAGAGAAGTGATTACCTATTAAGAAAAGGGGATTAGGGACCAGCAGTTAGCGTAATGGCTATGTCGCTGGACTCCCACTTAGTCGACCGCGGTTCATGTCCCGGACCCGGTGGCTTAGAACTCACGCTGGGCGTGTGTGCGTGCGTGCCCAAGATCCCGAGAGGAGAATGGAGGAGAAGGGATTGCGGCGTGACCATCCCTCCTGGGGGGTGATTTCTCGCTTTCTGTCTCTCTGTCTCTCTCTGTCTGACGAGCGCACGCGCCCTATAGCGAATACCTCTCAAAAGAAAAAAAGAAAAAGCAAAGGGGATTATGAACAGACAACTCTGAAGTCACATTGAAGTTGCCATCATTACATCTTTATAAGGTGAAGAGTAGAGAAGGAAAAATGCAGGCTTGGTTAATAATCGATTAGATATAATTCATCAAATCACCAGCTAACAGTCTGTCTGAGAAAAACTATGAGTAAAACAGTCTTCCCTTTAAAGTACATTTCACGTTTAGTAGGGCTATCATTAGTTTTAAAATATAACCCTACACTGAGGAACCAGCAGTTAGCGTAATGGCTATGTCGCTGGACTCCCACGTAGTCGACCGCGGTTCGCGTCTCAGACCCGGTGGCTTAAATCTCACGCCGGGCGCGTGTGCGTGCGTGCCCAAGATCCCGAGAGGAGAATGGAGGAGAAGGGATTGCGGCGTGACCATCCCCCCTGGGGGGTGATTTCTCGCTTTCTGTCTCTATGTCTCTCTCTGTCTGTCTGGCGATCGCACGCGCCCTATAGCGAAAACCTCTCCAAAAAAAAAAAATATATGTATATAACCCTACACTGAAAAATAAGTGCAAGAGTAACCTTTTAAATCTTTGAATATTTTTTCCTCTTTAATGAAATCCTTTGGGCATTCTTTTACTTACTTACTTTTACTTATTTATTTATTTATTTATTTTTGAGAGAGAGATTTTGCACCAGAAAGAGACAGAAAGCAAGAAATCACCCCACGGTGGGGGTGGCCACACTGCAACCCCTTCTCTTTTGGTTTCCTCTCAGGATCTTAGGCACACACACACACACACCTGGCATGAGTTTCAAGCCTCCAGGTCCAGAACTCAAACAGCAGTTGGCCACATTGGAGTCCAGCACCTTAATCACTATGCTACATACTGGCCTCTCTTGGGCATTCTTTATCAAAGCCATCAGCTGCATGCATTAAGTGCCTGATATGCTCCCAATACTGAAGCATTGACAAAGGAGTGAAAGTGGGTCTGCTGACTAGAGAGGAATTTGATGTCAACAGAGACAAAACGCACACATACTAAGGACAGCACCGTACCTTATTTAGACTTCTGTAAACTGTCTGCAAAATTCTAAGAAGCTAAAGAGAGCAAATATAAGAACACAAAAAAGTCAGCCCAACTATCACGATCCAGAGGATCAGGGGAAGAGGATTTGGAGACCACAGAGTATCCGGTAAGTGAGTGAGGTTTACAGAGCGGTTGGTGGCAAAGGGATAGGACATCTATGAAAATATCCACCTGGGGACCAGCAGATGGTGTAATGATTATGTCACTGGACTTCCACATAGCCAACCATGGTTTGAGTCCAGGACCTGGAGTCTTAGAAGGCATATCGAAGGACCAGCCGATGGCATAATAGGTACATTGCTGGATTTCCATGTAGTCGACCACAGTTCGAGTCCCAGACCTGGCAGTTTAAAACTCATTTCGGGTACATGTGCACCCAAAATCCTGAGAGGAGAATGGAGGAAAAAACATTGTAGCATGGCCATCTCCCAGGGGGTGATTTTTCATTTTTTGTCTCTCTGTCTCTGTCTCTCTGGCAAGCAAACATACCTTATAGCAAAAATCTCTAATTAAAAAAAAAAAAAGACTCAAGCCAGGCATGTATGCATGCATGCCTAGAATCCCAAGAGGAGAATGAAAGAGAAGGGACTGTGGCCTGGCCATCCTCCCTGGGGGATAACTTTCTGTCTCTCCGACAAGTGTACATGCCCTATAGAAAAATAAATAAATAAATAAATCCCTCTTAAAGAAAAAAATCTACCTCTCTGTCAAGATTTCAATGCCATAAATGCAATGGGCTCTCAAGAGCATGAATTTACAGTTACCTCACTTGGTCATTTGCACAGCTACTCTCAGTCCGGATTGTGTCCCACTAGCAAGGTCCGGGTCGGCTAAGGGGAAAAGGCAGTTAGAGAGACCAGTCCTTTCCTCAGACTTCCCAGAATGCCCAGGATGAGTTCCAGTGGCCTCACGCATGAAAGAAGAAGCAATAATGCAGCTGGGAAAACACCTTCGGCACGTCATGTCCTGTGCTCTCCATCCTCCGTTCTCTTAACTGCACCACAGCTCTCAATCAAAAACCTCAAAACTTACTTGATCTCCTTCACTGTTTATACATGCACGCAATGGAAGGCCCCTTACAACCGAAAATATGAGAACCTACCCGCTAATGGCATCAAGTAGCTCTGCTCAGCACACTGGAGTTCACCGAGCACTTCACTGGCCCGGGTCTCGTGAATCCTCTAATTCAGGCCTCAATTCTGAGATATTTAGAATATTTAATATATCCCTCCCCCCTCTTTTTTTTAACTGATAGAGGGTGTATGCCTTCACTGAGAGAGAGAGAGAGAGAGAGAGAGAGCGAGCGAGCGAGAGCATTCCTCAATGGGGTATGGCCATACTATGATCCTTCCACCTGCATTCCTCCATCTCGCCAGCACTGGGGCGTGGCGACACACAGCCTGGCATCTTTTTTCCAAGCTGTCAGGCCAAGATTCAAATGGGAATCGGCCATGTGAGATCTGGCTCTTCATGCATGATACTTAACCACTGTACTATAGGGCCAGCCCTCTAAAAACTCCCATTTTAATATATCGAAAATTGAATTACTGTCTAGTTATTGGGCACATATAATATGATGTTTTACTTCTCCATCCCAGGGGGACAGGGAATTGTGACATGGCCATGACCCCTGGGGGGTGATTTCTCGCTTTCTCTCTGTCTCTCTCTCTTTGGCGAGTGTATGTTCTCTAAGGCAAAAAAACCTCTTTAAAATAATGGATGATATTGTTAAATCAATAAGAAATCCTAAAACACTGATTTAGAAAAAGAGTATTATTATCCCCATTTTTTAAATCGTGTGACCGAACAAATCAAAATGACGCTGCCTGTATTTTATACAAGTTCCCACACAATGGTCACGCACAAATTACCCAGGTTAACGGAGAATGAGTCATTTACATGAATAAAATAACCTCGATAGGAAAAATATAAAAAGAGCACTAGTGTCAGAAGTTAACATGTAATACTCCATTAATACTCTAGAAAATAAGGGGGAGGAGGAAGACAAATACTCTCAATGGGGTTCCACAGAGTTTCTTTCCCCCAGCTTTCCCCAGCCAGCCAGGCTCATGGACATGAATATATGCTCCCCGTGTGTATAAGTCCATCCAGGAACTGAGCCCTGACCTTCCAGATGGCCTCCAGGAATGCAGAGTGTTGAACTACCTCTACACTACCTTGGCTGGGCTTGATTTTTCTTTTTTTTTTTTTTTATATTAATCAGTAATATGAAAATCATCTGAAATTCCTTACTTAAAAGCTACTGGATTACATTCAGCATTTCAAGGTACTCTCAGGTAGCAGTGAATATCATATTTATTCCTCCCTTTATACAGGAGTAAAACGTATTCACAGAATTTCTCTTTTAGCCTTAGGGCATGTGTGCTGGAGTTGGGGGTTGGGGGAGACAGAGAAGGAAAGGGAAAAAGAGTATTATTATCCCCATTTTTTAAATCGTATGACCAAAAAAATCAAAATTACACTACCTGTATTTTATACAAGTTCCCACACAATGATCACACACAAATTACCCAGGTTAACGGAGAATGAATTGTTTGCATGAATAAAAATAACCTCGATAGGAAAAACCCAGAGGGTATGGCCATGGCACAATCCCTTTTCTTTCATTTTTGGGGGGATCTTGGGCGCTCACATACACAATGGTGTGAGTTTCAAGCCACTGGATCTGGGACTCAAACCATGGTCAACCATGTATGAGTTCAGCAATGTAGCCACCATGCCATCTGTTGGTCCCTCAGAGAATGTCTAAAAGGGAATGTTCTATTCTTAAGAGTGACTTGCAAAGAAACTGATTGTGTAGAAATTACTTACTGTGGGGAACCAGCAGTTAGCGTAATGGCTATGTCGCTGGACTCCCACGTAATCGACTGCGGTTCGTTCGTGTGACCGAACAAATCAAAATGACGCTGCCTGTATTTTATACAAGTTCCCACACAATGGTCACGCACAAATTACCCAGGTTAACGGAGAATGAGTCATTTACATGAATAAAAT